GTATGTGTCTGCACATATACTTGGCCAATAAACACGATTCTGATTCTGATTCTGATTCTGATACCTATGTAATCACAGTGGGTGAAAACTGGTGAATCACACTATCTTTGTTTATGTTATTTCATTCATGTTACTGTTAGGAGTATTAGCATTTGAATTTAAAGACTAACCATAAGGCAGTGCGCCTAAAAAGAGCTGTGTGAGACTGTACAAATGTGTAACGACGTGCTATGTCTATATATTTGCAGGCACAGTAAAGTAAAACTAATAAAGCTACACTGGTTGCAATTCCTTTCAATCCAAGTGTGCAACAGTTGACTTGAACTGTGGGAAAAAAACAATCAGATATAGTAGGGTGACCATATTTTGATTTCCAAAAAAGAGGACACTTAGCTCAGTCATGAAGAACTTGCTTAAAGAAACATATTTAACATATTTAAACGATGCCTTCTCTGTGGAGTTAATGAATTGTGAAAGAAAATTTGTAATATAGGCTTTTACAAGACAACAAGTGCAAAAAAATAGCTTAAAAGCCTCTGGAATAACAAATAATGGTACAGAAATAATGCCTCATCTGCATAAGAAAAATCATATATATATGTATATATAGTATATATATATGAAGTTCATGGCAGTTCAAGTACTTACTGTTTATGGCAATAGTAGATGGGTCACTGCCAGGAGACATAAAAAGAAAAGCATCAAGCTTTGCAACATAAGCACACCAACTTCAGCTCCAGCAGGTAAAATCTTTCTAACCATCTCCAACTACACAGTCCCTGTTAGTGTCTGCACACAGGAGGAGCCTGTAGACACTTGGCTTGCAAAGTAGAAATTACACTAATGAAGCTTCACAGCTCAATATGACTGAGGCTGTCACTGTGATCAAGGATTTCCTCAGAGTCAGTTTTGGTGAAGGAAAGGTTGCTAACATCACCAAATCAGGCAGGTGACCATGAAAGTAAATACTAGGTTCTCTGACTAAATTCGCTATTGATATCATCAACGAAAATCTGCTGGAGAGAGAATTTATTAAAAACTAAATGTTAAAAGATTGCAACTCCCACTAAGTGTAATTCTGTCAGTCTACGGTAAAATACTGTAATTACATAAACATTTAATATTTTATAAAAACCAACATTAAATAGGGCTTGAGTTAAATATAGATACCAGGGGGCGATAGAGACAATTGGCTTCATTTTTGGGGAGCTGTCACGTCGTCCATGTTTTCTACAGTCACTGGTTTGTACCTTTTAATATATCAGTCTCCGTGTGTGCAGACAACAATATTACAATATGCAGTAAAACCACTCTATACCTATTTCAGACACATATGTTAAAAGAAAAGTTCTCCTGTCTGACACACCAGACAGCAACTAAACTTCTGGAGATGGCCGGTCTCAGACCACATGGAGAGTGAATTGTTCTTACACGCCCCAGACGGGAGAGTCAAACTCTTTGTACAGTGACTCTTCCTCCATCATCATCAAAAGTGAGTCTGCGGCTTTACCACAAAGTACTGATATTATCTTAATGTATGAAAGCAAAGCATGCTTTCAGTATGTTGGTCAGACACAGATGTGATCCTAACTGCAGTTATTGTTTCAACTCTTCAGCTCCTCTTCCATGTAAACTCATCATTAATCCACCAGTGATCACAGAGACAGACTCAGTCACACTCAGCTGTGAGACTCCTTCATCTGTTTCTGAGCCTGAATGTTATTTACAGTAGCATGTTGACCATTGCAGTACAAATGTCTTTTTTTCTTTTCCATATTATTACATACTGATAAACCACTTTAATAACAGACGTTTTGTGCTGCAATATGTCAGTTTTTGTTGATCTAAAGGTTGGATTAAGAGCCACAGATTTAACAACCTTCATTCCTGGGGACAGAATTGATCAAGGTATTCTTCATCTACAGTAACCTAACCTCCATTACTGTACAATGTAAATGACTGTCACTCTTGTCCTATCATATCTTAAAAGAAAATCAATATTAATAAAGCTTTTTCACTTGTGAATTAGTTTTTAGTTAAACGCAGAAATTACTACTACAACTACTAATAATAATAATAATAACAACTGAGTTTTAAAAACTTTCATTACAAGTAAAATGTTTTCTACAGGAAGATGCAGTTTATTGTTTTGACAGGTTTGGTTAACTTTTTGCTGTCATCTGTGTGATTCTGAGAAGTCAATAATATAACTCTATTGATTTGTCTTAGATATTGATCACAAAATACCCACAGATTTATTCTGATAAGCATCACAGAGATGAGCTGCCCTTTGGGCCTTCTCCTGATGAGCTGGGCCTTCTCCTGAATTTACCTGCGTGGGTGTGTCCTACCATCCCTCCTACCTTAGGTGCCACCTTTTTCTTTTGTACAGCTGACTCCCATCAGTAATTAAAGGTATTAAAGGCCAGAGAAAGGTGAGCTCTAGGGCCAGAAAAAGCAGATGGAATGGCTAAGGAAGTTATTAAAAGAGTAGACGCAGAGGTACAGATACCATTATCTAAATCTGAAGGAAAGTGTATAGTTTGGAGTGAAAGTAAGAAGTTATGGAAAATGGTGTGGGATAATGAAACTAGAGGGAGACAATTGTATAGGGTACAAAATACAGTAGACGTAAAACAAATAGAGGACTGAATAAGAGGGAGGAGATTGTTATGTGTAGAATAAGAACAGGGCATCGTTACCTGAATGGCACTCTTTTTAGGATGGGGAAACATTTAAAGGGGCTATGTAATTGGTGTGGTGTTATGGAAACAATTGAGCTTGTATTTATTAACTGCAGGAGGTATGGTAACTATAGGAGAATGATGAGGATAGAAACTGGAATGAGGGGGGAACTCAGGTTTGAAAAGGTGGTTGAATGGCTAGGATGTAATGAAAGGGAAGGAGTGGTTCTTTGGTTTCTGAGAAGTACGGGATTATTTAAGAGGATTTAAAGAGCTAGATGCAGTCTAAGTAACGCCAGAGGGTGGCAGTAATGCAACTTCTATGGATGCAAGCTGCAATTAAAATAAAAGAAGAAGAAGAGCAGCTCTAGGGCCAGATCCTTGTTGATTTGCAGCTAGTGAGCTGTGTGTGTTCTGCTCCTACTCGGTGGAGAAGAGTGTGTTTGGCAACTAATCCTCTTTACTTACTTTTCAGTTTACTGACCAACGCTTGAGTTTTGTTTTGTTTCTTTAAATGGTGATAACAGCTTGTCCGTCTCTTTTAGTTGACCTATTAATAGAAACTTTAATAAAACTCTTTAATTTAACCCCTTTTGCCTCCCTGTCTCCTTTTTCTGACCTGGACACTTTTTGTTACTTTCCCTAATCGCCTGGACCTTTTTAGGGGAACGTAACAAAGATTAACAATGACTAACACTGAGCAGTGCTGATTTTCTAACACTGGAAAATAACTAAACATGTTAGTAACTTTACAGTGTTAGAGAATCAACACTGCTAATGTTAGCCATTGTTAATCTTTAACACTGACTAGGTTACTGTTAGAAATATAACACTGTCAAAAATGTTCATTTAACACTCAAAAGAGTAGATTCATATAGACAGTTTCTCGTGTCAATTTAACACTGGAGATTTTGTGTTATTTAAAAATAAAATGTCATACATCTTTTGACAAGCTGTTAAAAAGGAGAATAGCAGGTCTTTAGAGACAAATAATTCAAAATTACTTTTGATTTTATCTGGAAACACATGAGAGAGAGAACAGCTCATTTATAATACATAATTTAGCTTCCACCAACATATTTCTGAGGAAAAGACTGTTGCTCGCCTATTGAATAAATTCCTTCCTGTTAAGATCACCTCTGTGCCTATGTCCAGATTTCCATTTAACTTAACAATATCATCATTATATAGGTTTAAGGGTTTCAAAAAGTGTGCTACAGCAGGTCTATTTGGTCTCTGTGTCTCTCTGAGTTTTGATTACAAAAACGTATCCAGCATTTAGGAAACAGACAAAGAAAAAATTAGTGTGCATTGTTGTTTATCTTTTGTCTTTTTCCTGTTTTATTTGGAAGGTTAGTTTTCTCATACTCCTTGCTTTTATTTGACTTCCAGCTTTTGTCTGTAATTTGCTTCTCTGCTCTCATTAGTTTCACTTTCACTAGTTAGTTTGCTTTTACCTGCGTTCACTCGCCTATTTGTGTATATGGTCTTGTCTTGTGTTGTCCTCTACAAAAGCCTTGCTTCACCCACAGCCTGTGCTAGCTTCCTTTAAAACAGACTTTCTTCTGATTGACTGAACATCACAATGAGGAGATTTGAACAGCAGTTAGGTGGAGATACGTCTGTTCTCGAAGTCAAACCTCTTTACTTTATATGGTCTCATTTTAGACAAGTTATTTATAATTCTGTTTGTCCATTTATTCTCATATATTGAGGTTGTTGCTATGCCTTAGAAGAAAAAATATGGCATAGGCATTCATGGTTTATAGTAATGAGACCTCTGCTGTATAGTTTATATGAACTCTAGCTGTAGCTATACTGTATGCTAAAATGCATTTTTACTTGAAAGGAAGTTTTGTCATGGCTGGTGAACAAACACAAAAACTATACTGATAATCAGGTGGAAATGGTATCCCCATCTGTGTCTAAAGATTTCTATAACCATTTTTACCAACATCTCAAAATTTCATTAATAATCCATTTACTAAAAAGCAAATTACTTTTGTTTTGACATACATGATAAAGCATGTATTCACTAATCGTTCTGCCATGGTAGAAATAAACATGTATAAGAAACACAAAAGTGATCAACAGACACTTTAACTGTTATGTGCCTACAAAAAGGTTGACTAAATATATTCTAGTTATATGTGTGAGGGTTTAAAAAGCGTATCATTGCAGGTTCTCAGTATGTGACGTGTGTCTTACTGTGGCCAGTTAGCGTGACACTGTGAAAACTGTGGTTTTCCTGAAAACAAGTTCTAAAATTAACATTTAATGCACATGAGAGTCAGAGCAGTCAGACAGACTGTTGTAGTCTGTTCTGCACGTTCACATTGTTCTTTTAATCATGGCTGATCTCCTGCTGCTAGTCGTTCTCATGTGTAAGTTAAACTTCTTATGATTCATTGTTCATGTCAGCTATTACTAAATATAGTCTCACCTATTATTACTGTTAGGTGTTAGCATGTTTACCTCTAACACAAGTTTACATTTTGGATCTTTTTATTGTTGATTCTATTTTGTATTTTCCTTCTTTCCTTCTTCAGATTCCTTTCATGAAATTAAAGCACAAGGTCAGTCGTAGTTTCATGTGTTTATCACTGTATTAATTTTACTGTTTTGTCTCTGGAGTTTCTCTACAGTAACTCAGCTTTGCTCATCATGAATACTTTTTGTGCATATATAAAATATTTAACATAACATCTGCGTAAATGTAATTTCAGCCAGTCTTCCACCTATACTGAGCGTGAGTCCACCTGCGATCACAGAGACGGACTCAGTCACACTGAGCTGTCAGACTCCATCATCTGTTTCTGTGTCTCAGTGTGATTTCTACACTGCAAGCCAAAAACTGTCCAAAGGTTCCTCCTGTGTGCAGACACTGACAGCGACTGAGCTGCTGAAGATTGCACATAAGAGTTTACCTGCTGCGGTTGAAGTGAGATGTTCTTACACTGTACAAATTGATACTTTTAAACTGCCATCTCCTTACAGTGAGCCATCCACCATCACCATAAACAGTGAGTGACAAAAGTACATGAACAGTTTATAATATGTTTCAATAGTAATTATGGGGATGATTAGTTATTATCCGAGTACTTGCAATAATTATGAATCTAAATGTAATTATTATAAATCTACAATATAATATATATAATATAGATGCGAATGTGCTTAATTAATCTAACATGTACCTGAATTTTTCAGATCTCCGTCCACCTAAACTGACAGTAAACCCACAGAAGATCACAGAGACAGACTCAGTCACAGTGAACTGTCAGACTCCATCATCTGTTCCTGTGTCTCAGTGCTATTTCATCATTGCAGGGAATGAAATTGCCAGAACAGCTCCTTGTCTGCAGACTCTGACAGGGTCTGAATTTCTGTCATGGACACGTCAGAGTTCACCTGTAACAGTTGAAATGACCTGTTATTACCTTAATATACAGAAATCTCCAGTGAGTAATATGTCACCAATCACAATACAAAGTGAGTAAATGCTACTGCAATGAACGCAGTAATATGAGGTTTAAATGTGCATCAGATTAAAACTTTCAGAGTAGTTTTTTTTAAATTTTATTTTCAAATAAATGTAATGTTTTCTCTTTTAACTCAACAAATTTTTACATTTTTAGCCCCTCGACCTGAACTGACAGTGAACCCACAGAATATCACAGAAACAGACTCAGTCACAGTGAAATGTCAGACTCCATCATCTGTTTCTGTGACTCAGTGTTTTTTGCACTTTATGAATGGAAGAAAATCTACATCCATCTCCTGTCAGCAGACACTTACAGCAACTGAGCTGCTCTCTTTGGCACAGCAGAGTTCACCTGCTGAGGTGGATGTGACATGTTTTTACAGCTCAGAGCATAAAGGAGGACAATACCAGTCTCCTCACAGTAACAGATATTCCATCAGCATACAAAGTAAGTGATCATGCTGTGAGTGAAGAGGAAAATTGTCATGTGCATCAGGCAAAAACCTCTCAGAACAGTTTCTATTATTAGATTTTATTTTAAATAAAATAAACATTTGCTTATTTAACTCTACAAATGTTTACATTTTTTAGATCCTCGGCCTGAACTGACAGTGAATCCACAGATGATCACAGAGACAGACTCAGTCACAGTGAACTGTCAGACTCCATCATCTGTTCCTGTGTCTCAGTGTTATTTCATCATTTCAGGACATAAACCTGATAAAGCAGCTCCTTGTCTGCAGACTCTGACAGGGTCTGAATTTCTGTCATGGACACGTCAAAGTTCACCTCTTACAGCTGAAGTGACCTGTTATTACTTTTATATACAGAAATCTCCAGTGAGCAACATGTCACCCATCAACATACAACGTGAGTAAATTCTGCTGAGGTGCACTAATGTGAGGATGTTTGTCTACAGTATCAGTACAAAAAACAAAGCTGCTCTCAACTTAAGGGTTGTGGGAAGAAATTGTGTGAAATGTGTATTAAACTTGATCATTTTAAAAAGTAAAACTCTCAGTTCAGTTTCACTTAATATATTTTATTTTTAAGTAAATGAAACATTTGCTTATTTAACTAAAAAAATAATCTTTACCTTTTTTAGCCCCTCGGCCTGAACTGACAGTGAATCCAATGATGATCACAGAAACAGACTCAGTCACAGTGAACTGTCAGACTCCATCATCTGTTTCTGTGTCTCAGTGTTTTTTGCACTTTATGAAAGGAAGAAAATCTACGTCCATCTCCTGTCAGCAGACACTGACAGGAACTGAGCTGCTCTCTATGGCAGAGCAGAGTTTACCTGTTGAGGTCAAAGTGACATGTTTTTACACATTAGAACATAAAGGAGGACCACATAAGTCTCTGCATAGTAACACGTCCTCCATCAGCATACAAAGTAAGTGATCATAACATGCGGCTCTACAGTATACCTCTGTACAGTATGTGCATAAAGTTTTAGCTTTTATAAACCAAAGAATGAGACTAAAAACTGATTTTTATAAAGTTTTTCATTTACATGTAACCGATGTTACATTCTTAAATAAACTGCAATTTGTTTGAATTTAAGAGTCAATTTAAAACAAAATTTCCATTGAGTAACATGTCAGAAATTACAGCTGTTATACAAAGTGAGTCAATACTAATGCAGTTAACTAATATGAGGATGTCTGACAACAGTATCAGTAGAAAAAACAACTTCTCTCAACTTGTCGGTTGTTTGGTGTGAGGAAAATGTAAATGTGCATAACATACATATATTTCTCTTATTAGGTTTTATTTTCAAATAAATGAAACATTTCTTTAATTAATTTGAGAAATCTTTACATTTTTTAGCTCCTCGACCTGAACTGACAATGAATCTAATGATGATCACAGAAACAGACTCAGTCACAGTGAAATGTCAGACTCCATCATCTGTTTCTGTGACTCAGTGTTTTTTGTACTTTATGAGAAGAAGAAAATCTACGTCCATCTCCTGTCAGCAGACACTTACAGCAACTGAGCTCCTCTCTATGGCACAGCAGAGTTCACCTGCTGAGGTGGTAGTGACATGTTTTTACATGTCACAGCATAAAGGGGGACAATACCAGTCTCCTCACAGTAACATATCCTTCATTAACATACAAAGTAAGTGATCACAATGTGCTGCTCTCTATTATACCTCATTACAGGATGTGCATTTATTTCTACAAACCAAAAAGGGAAACTAAAGCCTGATGTTTATAAGGTTCTGTTTACCTTTAACAATGTAATCACCAGATATTAGGAGGTGATACATATTTCCATCCTTAAATAAACTGCCTATCTCTTGAATTAAATTAACTCCGTCCAGGGAGCAGAATTCTGAGTATTGATGGATGTATTTACAGTGCATTATGTGTTATGCACTGACATCAGATGACAGCAAAACAATATCATAGGGCTTCAGCTACCGATTATTTTAGTAATTGAGTAAGCTTCCATTTTAGAAATTATAAAGTTTATTGCATATAAGATATAAGATCTGTCAAAAAAGTTGTATTTAAAAATTATATGTAAATTATATATATGTGTGTGTGTGTGTGTGTGTGTGTGTGTGTGTGTGTGTGTGTGTGTGTGTGTGTGTGTGTGTGTGTGTGTATTTATATAAAATGTATTTTAAGAAAGCTTTATCTTAAATTAAAAAAAAGTATAAATAGTTAAAAATATCGTCAAAGGTCCAATAAAACAAAACAAGATATACGTGTAATCTAAACTATGGCACAAAACAGATGATACGATGGTCTAGATGTTAATAATTAATATTAATAATATTTTAGTGTCCAACCTAATAGCTCTCAGGTCAGCGGATCAGAGTTTAAATGCCCATTTATATTTTATTAGGTTGTTAAAAAAGTTTTTATTCCTATATTTTTAAATATTAATGCAGTTTAATTAGCACTTTATCTGATATGATTTCACTTTCAGTGTGAAAATGTTACAAGAGTCTTCAAGTTAATACGGTTTAGCCCCTGTTTGCTGCAGATACCACTTCCATGTACAATAAGACTGCTACCGTCAGCCTTCAGCAAGCTGTATGATTTAACCAGTCTGGTGTCAGACTCAGTTAACAGATCATCTGCATATTTTAATAGTACTTCTGGAGGCTTACTGCAGATTTTTTTCTCTGTTTAAAACAAATAGCGGTGGATGGAGCAGCTGCAGAGTTTGCTTTTCTTCACGCCAGAGTTTGTTGATCAGGTGCTTTGATGACGGACTCACGCTAAAGTAAAGGTTTTAATGGTGATTACGGGAACATCGCTGTTGTTTTGACATTAGAAACATTCTGTTTCACTCACCTTGACCTCACTGTCTCAGTAACGCCTCCACTTCTTGCGCATAAACAAACTCCGGCTGCATGTTAAACTGTGTCAGCGTCATCATCACTGTTGCTATTGTGTTATCAGTGTGTGTGGGATCAATGTTGTCAAACCTTTTATTCACACACTGCTTCTAAATAGTTTTGTATTGCAGGTCTTGTTCCAGTTGTGTTTACATCGTTTAATACATCGGAGCACTACAGAGCCGCGTGTTAAAGGAAGCATCGATGCAAAGGCTGTGTCGAGAGTTTTTTATAATCAAAGTATTCGAATCACTCAATCATTATTAAAGCCCTACAACATTGTTTAAGTGTTGTAGGACTAATTGTAAAACATTGACACTTTGGTGTTGTATGGCAGTATTGCAGTAGTGGAAGAAAAATGCCTTTTGTGGTGAATCCACAAGAAACTTAAATAATGAAACAATCACTACACAATCTTCTTTTATTGCAGCTGAAAAAAACACTTTGACCTTTGCTCCTCCCCCGTCTATGGACTTTACAAGTCACACAATCAGGAAAAACACAATTATTGTTAAGATGTTTATAAGTAAATAAAAATGACTAGGTCAATTGCTGTGGTGTTTTTTGACATCTAGAGATATTCGTTTCAGTGGGGACGACTTCTTCTGTGACCACACCAAGGACATCTTCAGGTTAGCAAAATTTCCTTAAATTGCATATTCATCACACTAAGAGGATTTTGCTTTGCATATCAGTGAAGTTTCTTCTTTGCCTACATGCCATTCAACATACTTTGCTGTTCTCAGGACCGTAAAATAAGAGATTTGTTGGTTTTTAACCGTAGACATTTCAGTAGACCCAATTTCTACAAAGCTCAGCACTACAGGGACGACTTCTTCTCTGACCACACCAAGGACATCTTCAGGTGAGCGAAATTTCCTTGCACTGTGTATTCATCATACTAAGAGGGTTTTGCTTTGCATATCAGTGAAGTATGTTCTTTGCCTACATGCCATTCAGCATACTCTCAAGACCATAAAATAAGAGATTTGTTGGTTTTTAACAGTAGATGTCTTTCTTCTTTACTTTCACCAAAATTGGAAGTAAGACTGACACTTGCTTGTGGTCTGTGCTTTTCTAGTACCTTCTGCACATAAACTTCTACCTGTAGTTGCAACTGGTTTTGGTGTAATTGTGGGCATCATCTCACTGGGAATGGCTCTTGTCTGTGTGAAAAGAAGAAATGGTAAGGACAGTAACAATTCCTTATGTCATGTATAACCCCAAAGCTTTTCTACAGTCTGAGGTATTTGTGAACACACTATATTATAAAAAGTTTATACACAAAATCGACCGACCAGCTCCACCGCCGTTCTGTTCATAAACTGACTGATTTCCTCTGACCTCCATATCTTTTACTTCTCTTACATACTTACATGCTTTCCCACAATTTTCTTATTCCTCTTTAAGACTCAGCATTATGTTTCAGCTGCTCCGCACCAACACTGTACCTCACTGCTTCAACACAACAGTGAATATATTAACTCGCCCAACTCTTTTAATCTAGCTCTTACTCTATTGATGTCACATCCTAACGGTGTGTGGTGACTTTTAGAGGAAGGAAAGCAGAGACATACCCCTCCTGCCCCCTAATACATTAATTCATTAAAAAAAATAAAAAAAATAAAGCCTCCCTTGTCATCTAACAAACCCTATTTTGGCAAATTGTACCAGATTAAAACATACCACTCTTTTGCTGCACTCTCCTTGGTAGTCTTCACCTCTCTGCACTCCCTCCTGCCTATAGAATTGTAAAATGTTATTACTGCTATAGTTATCTAACTATTTACTATTAGCTAAAAATGATCAGTGGTGATGATCCTGATTCTAACATGTATCAAATATATCTATATAAAAAAATAATCTGAGCTGAATTAACAGCACAAGAACTCTGTGACGTGTTTAACTGCCAATATGTACAACGAGATTAAATATCAATGAAAAAAGTAAGTAAAATAAGTTTTAGCATAAACTGTTAAACTCTGTGCATTTGGTCAACTAAGTGATTACTCCGAGATATCAATCTAAAAGTCTTAATGGAGCCTCCAAATGATCCGCTGGACATGGCAGACATTCCCTTCTCTATCATTAAAACTTTCAACACCTTAAAGGAGTTATTAAAGATTTCTTGCATCATAGGCCAAAGTGGCCAATGAAAGCACAGTCAGTGTTAAGTTGTCTAGCACACTAGTCTTGTCAAGGTCCAGAAGTTTGTCTACAATGACAAAACAACTAGTTGCAAACTGTAGGCAAATTTTGGTATCAATCCGATACCAGGTAAATTAACAGCAGTATTGCCAATACTGATACTTTTAATCTATAAAGAGATCTTATGTAGGGGAGAACAGTGTATCATGATTTATGAGATGCATTATCGTGTTAGGGTACCTGGGTTGTTGACCCAGTGTTTTCTGTTAGTTTTGAGTCTTGTTTATTCATTCTTATGTTCTCTGTGTGTCTTATGTTTCACAGTTCAGTTTGCTTGTGCTCAGGTTTATCAGTATTTTAGTTTAGGTTGTCTTGGTTGGTAATTGGTCCCATTCATGTCTTTGTCTTGTCTCTGTGTTCCAGAGACACAGAGATAAGACAAAGACATGAATGGGACCAATTACCAACCAAGGTGGCTGTGTTCTACCTGTGTTTTGTTCCCTCATTTGCCCTCATGTATTTATTGTCCATCTACCACCGTCAAGTGTCGCAATCTCCCTCTTGCTATGCCCTTTCCATATGTCCATTTTGTATCTGCCCTTAGCCCTCCCAGTTTTCTTATGTATCTATCAATCAAGCAATAAAACTCTCGTTAAGTTCAGTCTTGCTGAATGAGTGCTCTGACTTTTACTAAACACAATTAAAAAACACAGTAAAAAAATACTTTTAACTTTTCTAATATATTAAGTGTGTTTTTTAGAGACCTGGGATGTAAATGTGCCAGTCTTTAAAAGACTTTGTGTCAGCTTCTGTTGTTTAAATGTGCTACGGGGTAAAAAGCATTGACATGACAAAACAGAGAATGGTTTAAATATTTTTTATAGTGCATGTTTGAAGTATATTTTTTAATTTAAAAAATATATAGTAAAAATGTATTTAACAGAGTTCAGTGGGGAGCATACAAACTGGATAGAAGCAACCTTTGATCCAACTGCATTAGTATCTGTCCAATACTGATACCAGCGTTAGTATCGATATTATCGATATTTGGCTCGATCTGCCCACCCTATCACACACCCATGAGAATGCCTGTCCCCACATAGATTTCAAGTAGTATTCTGCTTCCAGAGTCAATTGACAACAGCTGCCACAAAATGACAGGGTTTTTTTTCTCATACCTGTTTGGATGCAAACATGTACGCCAGTGTGTTTGTGAAATGGACCCAAATGCAGAACATGAGAGGAGATGGTAGTGAGCTTTAAACAAAAGGCGAGCCTTTATTAGATAACAAGAAAACAAAACAAAACAACATGAACAGTGGTGAGAGCTAAACTAAAACCTAAACGGGAAAAACTAGGAAAGACTATCATGACTATGAACATGATTTTGAGCAGGAGCATGAAAGAAACTATGAAATACAAACATAAATGAAAACCTGAACTAGAATAAAACTCAACTTAAACCTAACTGGTAATACCAACAAAAGAACATATTTTCAATATAATATAAGAAAGCAAAAATACAAAATGAACTCAAAATGGACAAAAAAGGTATGAGAGAAGCTTAATTACAGATTGCTGTTTGAGATTAAAGCAGAGAACACTTTAGTATGTATTAACTAACAATCACTTGACAATTAATGCTTTTCTTTTTCTCCGTGATGTAACATCGCTGTCAAATCCACTATGACTTTAATTAATTAAATATTTATTCTTTAATCATTTCTGGTATTGTGTTTAATAGGATATCCTTGAGTGTTGTCTTTTTCTCCCCCTGTGTGGTAGTTTTTATACTGATTTTTTGTTCTGCCTTTTGTTGTAGATAATTTTTCAAGCACAAAAAAAACTGGCCGAGAAGGATGGGTACTTTTCTTTTTCTTTTTTGCCTTAATAAAATTCCCTTTATCTACTAATAATTCACGTATTTAATTACAGGTCATTCATGACTTCTCATCTTACTCCTTTTCTTCTCTTCTTATCAAACAAGATGTCTCCAAATGATACTGAAGCCTTCAATATGACCAGTTTGGTCCCTGGTGATGACCCACCTAAAGGTTAGCTACTGCTTTTTATTTCCTTTTTTAAATTTTGGTCTAAGGGTTGTTACAGTTGTATAACAAGTAACATTATTTTGATGAGGAACCAAAATGATATAATTTAATGTGCAAAGCATTTATACAATAAACACCATCTTAGTGCATGAATATCAGAGGGGTATACTACAAACCAAGGTCAACGTAGCCAGGCTTTCTTTGCATTAGTGGACTTGAAACTAGGGATGGACCAATCCGATATACAGTATGGGTAACAGTCTGATCCTGATGTAAATTACTGGATCAGATATCGGGGAGAAAAAAAATTTAATCAGATACATTAAATATCACAAAAGTACCTCACAAAACTTGCAACATGGCGCAACCCACAGGGAAAGAGAAATGTTCTGAGGGTGGCATGAGGTTGGTAAGGAAATCAAATGGAGTGGCAAAATCAAAGTCCTTTTTATCAAACACATATGCAGGTGGTCACATATGGTTAAAATGCACTAAGTATATATGCTTTTCATATAAATATAGTCTGTAACTTAATTATTTTCTGTAGCCCACACTTTAGTTACATAAAACATGCAAATTTTAATTTTATGCACTGTATAGCCTGTATAATAAATAAATATGTAGCCCAATAAGTATAAAATCCAGAAAGCTACACAACATGTGGTGGTTGCTTTAAAAACACAAGCCTAACTTTCTAAAGTTTCTAAAGTCCAAAGTTTCACACTTTTTTGGTTAAAAAAAATCAAATTGTTACATGCTTAAATTTACAAAAAATGTCAGAAATCTGCATTGTCATGAACAAAAATTTAAACCTAGTTTTTCACTATTTGTTGGGTTAGCACTCTGAGGTCCAAAATATAACTGGCTGCATTTTTGACAACTTTTGATTTTACATTTGTATTTCACGTTCAAATTGCTTCATTTTTTTTTTTTTTCTGCCTTGCTTCGTATAGTTCTTTTCAGCTCAACCTCACGTGTTTGAATGTAGTTGTTTTTTCATTTACATACTGTGTTAACACAACTGATCTGAAATCACACAAAAAACATAAAATCCCAGTAGTATTTTTTACTTGTTGAGTAAATTATTTTTACAACTTGAAATGCAAATATAAATTGTACATTTTGAAAACTTAGGCACATATTTTGTAAACATATACAGCTAGTTATCCAAAAATGCAGCCAATACAGCTGTTTTTGTTTTTTAATTTGTACAACCATTTAAAAATATTACTATAATTAAAATGAGAGAACAATCAGGTGTCACAATAAGATGCCCCACAAAATTATTTGTGCCAGTAAAAAAAAAAAGTTTATCCATCACAATACAGAGGAGAACACCACAGGGATAAACCCTGCAGGCCTGACTCACTCCTCTTTTTCACCTAGAGACAGCGTTTACATTGCAATCTGCCTTTGTGACATTCATTAGTACCATCACTCAAACACAAAACAAAATAACAACTACACAACAGACTAATTACACGAGACAACACAAACTAGATACTCCATGCTAAAAGTCACAAATCTCCCTCATCTCAAAACTCTCTCTCTCACTCGCTTGCTCTGTCTCGCTGTCTACCTTCACTCCCAGCTGCACCTTATGCACAATCTGTGGTATTCATTTTATTTCTGTCATCCTGTATTTTATATATATAAGATTTAGATTGGTTATTTATGGTTGGTTTATACACCTTTGTGTATGTATGTGTGCATATGTTCATGGGTGATATGGCCCAAAATACATATCTCGGTATTCTTTAGCTGGATGGTGATATACAATAGATATCTTGATATTTTTTAAAGCCATAAAGTAAGAACAAAAAGAGAATTCCTAATCAAAGCTTTGTCCCAAATCTCACATAGGCACTTTTATTAACATACAGCATAGATGTACATGAAAAAATTACTCAGAAATAAATTGTCAGCATTTATTAAATACTAATGCTCCATAAATGAATGTATTACTCTGCGAGGCTCCTGACTACAGTAGCCGTAATGCTCCTACAATCCATCAAGCGGTGGGGCTTCGTAGCTTACCAAAGTCGTACTAAAACATTTTTTGACAGATTGCTGAGCGCCGTGTACCACACAAAATTACAGACTTGGATGCAAATATTCTGATTGGCTGCCACGGTCTCCAATCAGCTGGCTAGCTACTGGATTCTGAAAAGACAGTCCAGAATGTAGCTAAATCCAGTGGAGTGGTTTGGTTTAAACTAGATTAAAACCAACAAGGGTCGTAAGAAATGATATATTTTAAAATAAAATAATTAAACATACTAACCGAAAAGGGATTTAGCAAAGCCTCCTTTTGGAATTAGATCCAGCTGACCATGATCATGGTAACCATTCACAAGATCATCACAAGTGTACAGAGCACTAAAATAAACGTGTTAATCTATTTATATTACTGCTCAGTGAAATCTTGGTGCTGCTGTCTATTTCTAAAGTAACAGCTGTAAAAGCTCTAAAGGGTTAGACTGCATGCGATTAAACATAAAAGAGACTTGGAAATTGTAGTTTGTCACCAAATAAATGAGAAATTAATTTTAGTGATCAAATAGATATTCCCTGTGATAAACAATCTACAAATGTAACTGATCACTTTTCTAATCTGTGTTCTAGTAGCTGCAATTACAACAGTTTCAAAACAAAAGTTTGTTAAAAGAATAGGACCAAGCAAAAAAAGATTAGATATTTTCTACTTCGCCATCTGAATGTGAATGCATGCCATGACAATGTGACATGTTTGCTGGGCTTTTTTTTACTTCTGTTTTCTACATGTTGTTTATATAAAATGGTAAAAAGAGATCCACTTTTGTGACACAAAAATCTCCTGCTTTACACTCAACGTACCTTGCTAACCCAATAATTTTCCTTTATGGTAAACTCCTCAGACATTTTCCTATTTCATACACATACAAGAAGACATACAAAGTGAAAATAAAGATAACTCTGGTTCTGTATTACTCACAGGGTCTAATCAACTCAAAAGACAAGAGTCTCAAACTGAGGATGTAAGTGAGACAAGTGCATCCTCAGCATTTAATATATTTACTACAGAAAAAAATACAGATGCAAATAACTTTTGCTCTATTTTTTTTCTAGTCTTCCTTATACCACTTGTACTCCAGCATCCCTGAGGAGCCAGCTAAAACACCTACAGTGAAAACCGACCTGGCATACAGCACTCTACAGGCACGCTGAAACACATTAAAAATAATTAACTGGCAGAAAACAGAAGATAAGACTAAATGGCCATTACACACTCAAGCCATATCGATAAGACAGGAAAATATTTTTCTTTCTTTCTTTCTTTCTTTCTTTCTTTCTTTCTTTCTTTCTTTCTTTCTTTCTTTCTTTCTTTCTTTCTTTCTTTCTTTCTTTCTTTCTTTCT